TCTCCCCGAGTCGATCCTCCAGATATACAAATCCACAATTCGCCCTTGCATGGAGTATTGCTGCCATATATGGTCTGGCGCCCCTTCTGTTTGCCTCGGGGTTCTTGATAGGCTCCAGAGGCGGATATGCAATATGGTTGGCCCTGCCCTGGCGTCTCGTCTACAGTCACTTTCTCACAGACGCGCCGTCGCCTCCCTCTGTCTGTTCTACAAATACTTTCATGGAAATTGCTCCGAGGAGCTGCATTCGCTGGTTCCCAGACGTCATGAGTTCAAGCGCCCTACGAGGCTGGCATCCCGCTCTCACCCCTTCACTGTCGAAACTCCTAAATGTAGCCGTCTCTTCTACTCTAATAGCTTCATGTCTCGCACCTCTCGCCTGTGGAACTCCTTCCCTTCTCCTGTTTCCCTGAGAGCTATAATCTCCAGCTATTCAAGTGTAATGTCAATCGACATCTCCAGTTGCCTTGATCTATCCACTACCCTCATCCTTTCTTCTATCACTCCTATCTGATCTTGCTCTAAATTTTCTGTAACCCCTTGCGTCCTAGTGGCTTCCCGCCTTGCTTGGGGTGAAATGCTTAAAAAAAAAAAAAAAAAATAATCAAAAATTACTATTCTTAAAAGGAAGGGTCTTACAATATGGAATGAATATAATTATCTTTTTTAAAATTATTTAAATATGTTAAAAAATCACCTTTTAAAATAGATTTTGTTTAAACCTTTTTGTCTTATCAAATATTCCATTGAATGTAAATTGTAGAATAAAAGTTTTGGGTTTTTAAAATTGAGAACAGTGAGCTGTTACATTTCATTGACCAATCAAAATACAAGTATATTCCCAAAAAAAATGATAAATGTGGTTATAATAACTATTAAATGTTTTTAAGTTTTTTATACTAAAACATGGGGCTTAACATAATAAGTATTAAATTTAGTACCTTACAAATTAAAAATTAAAATTAAAACTAAATAAATAGTTATATTAGGCTCTTTCATTGCTGTTTAAGAATAGTAATTGACGTTATTAAATTTATTCATCGTGACCAATCATATACTTGTCTTAAATAATATATATATATAAATATTTTCAAATTAGTAACCTAAATATATTAAAAATCACTTCAATAAAATAGTATTTTCAAGTTTTCTTCAGTGTCTTTATCAATTTGATGTTAACCTTTTTGAACAAAAAAAGGTTTTAAAAAATCACCCCTAATTAACCACCCCTCATGAGGGGTAAAAGCCTAATTCAAAGAGAAAATGACCAAATCAAAATACAAGAATTAACCTAATATTTTAATAACTATTAAATACTATGCCAATGTAATTTTCTAATTTTTATTTCAAAACAGAATTTTACATTTAATACTTTACCTATAAATTCTATTTTATTATCCCCTTTCAAAATAAACTGCTATATTATAATATATATATATAGAACCCTATATATATATATATATATATATATTTTAATGCTAACCTTCAAATCTTGACTGGTTGAAATTTGAAACTTAAACTTAATAAGAAATTTTTACCCATCTAAAATAAGAAATTATATTGAATTCATTGTATTAGGTCTGCTGATAAAGATTTTGGTGCCTTAACACTTCATTATATTTAAATTATACATTACTGAATTTTTTTTATTAGGCTTTTTATAATTTTACAGTTTTAAAAATATTAAATCCTAGATTATTTGTGGAGAAGTTCTATGCTAACAAATTGCTAACAAACATGAAATTTAATTTCTTTGTGGAGAATTTTCATTTAAAATTTATCAAACGTTAAAATTTGATTTTTTAAAATTTTAAATGCATTTTTCAATCTCCTCGTTAAATTCCTATTCTGTCTCATTTAATCCCGCTTTTTTTTTTTGTTTTTTTTCTTGTTGTTGTTGTTTTAAATAATTATTTCTGATTTATTGCCTTCTTGGGGTCACTATTTAGTAAAAAAAAAAAAAAAAAATAAACTTTTAAAACCGTAGATCAATCTCGTTTTCTCAACCATGTCTCTCTTTTAGGTCACCATCTTGGATCAATTATTTCTAGTTTTAATACTGCCTTTTGTTGAAAGTGTAAATCCAATTTTATATGACTTTCACAGCACTACCCTGAACATAAATACTGAAATAAAAGACTCTGCCTGAGAAATAATTTTTATGAGTTATGTCCATAACCATCATTTTAAGCCAAAATGCTTTTGAAAATATATATATAAAATAAAAAGACAGGTATAAATATATAATATATATTAAATATAAATATTCCAACGTAAAATAAGAAAAAAAACATGATTTTTTTATTCATTTAAGTTAGTTCATTATCAAAAAAGAAAAATCTTAATTCAAAAATTTCATTTTTTTTTGTTTTGGGGTTTTTTTTTTTTCTGGGGCATTCTATATTTAATAACAAATTGAACTTTTTAAAAATCAAGATCAAAAGCTTTAAAACTCTGCAATGTCATATTATAATTTTTTTTTTTAAAATTTTTAATATGCTCAAATTGTTTTATTTTTTCATGTATGAGTAAGTTAAAAATGAATTTAAATTTAAAAACTTTCCTTAACTTTTCTTAAGAAAAAAAAGGTAAAACATAAATATAAATTTTAACTTTTGTTTTTCACAAGGTTTCCTAACTTAATTAATTTTTAGATGAATCTTATTTTGAAGATGAATGAACCAACACAAAATCTCAGTTCTACATTTCAAATAAAATATCCTTAAAAATTCAGATCCTATCAAGCCCTTGATAAATTTGTTTTGCAAATTTTCATTTTAAAAAACAATTTCAATAATCAAACATAAATATAAATGAAAAAACACTCATATTTTATTTTGTAAGAAATCCAAAATATATTGAAAAAGAAAATTTTTTTATTTTCATTGAAACAGAATATTAAACACTTCTATCTTAAAAAAAGCTCAATTGAAACTTTTATTTAATCTATACAGAGAATGTCTTAATAATCAATGAAACTTTTTCATAAAAGAGGTATGTTTTAGATTGGCTGACTATTAATGTTTGATATCCTTCACCTCTAATTCTTCAAATTTGTTTTTGGTTAAAAATATAATTCTAATTCTCATAATGAATTTTTTGCCTTATATATAACCCAAAATCAAAAATAATTTAAAATAAACATTGAAACTCAAAACTAAATAAATAGAAACTTGATTTAATTTGATAAAAAAAAATCTGATTTAATTAAATGTTTGATATGTTTTTGTCTTCGTGAATAAAAGAATTATTTTGTCTGGTGCAAACTAAACTATATTAAATAAAGATAATCAAATAAAAAGTGATATTTGAGTAGAAAGTTCTTTGGTTTTCAACAATGTCTTTCAAATATATTTAGAAATCTGTTCAATGTTTTTTGGTAAGAGTTGGTTGAAAAAATGAAAGATTTCTAAAAATCCCGTTTTTTTTTTTAAAAATACATCAAAACGACATTATTAATACATTATTTTTTTTTCCAAATATATGGCAACAAAATCTTTTCAATTTTTTATTTTATGAAAAGTTTATTTATTCAGAAAAAGAAATCTAAAAATAGTGACAATGATATGAGATATGTGAAAAAATTCATTTTTAATTGAATTTAAACTGATATGTAGTAAATTATTAAATTATCAGGCCTTTTTTTTAGGCATCTTCTTTCACTTTCTCAAATTTGTTTTTTTTGTCTTTGTCTGTTGTTCAGCAAAGTATCTTCAGAAACTATTATTTTTGAGAAAAAGAACATTTTTCAAAATTTTGTCTCCAAATTTAAATTTATGTTTTTGTGGCACTGTACTTCCCATGTTTATTTTTTAATGCCTGAAAATAAATATCACAATCACCAATCCTATTCTAACAAACAATTTTAATTTGCATTTCAGAAATTCAGAAATTTTTGCTTCCCTGATTTTTTCAAAAACTTTGTAGTTCCTTTATTTTGATTCTTTTTTTTTTTCCATCTTCCCACAATGGCCTCAGACTCAACATGGAGAACATTTGAGTTCCTTGAAAAGGTTGATGAAAATATAGATCAATAGTTTTGATGAAGAAAAGACTATACACATAAAAGTACCAAAAAATTTTAAAAGAACCTAGAGATAAAAGAAAATCAAAAGAAAATTTCTAAAATTAAATTTATCATTTTGTTTCAATCACTTTCAACTGCCATATAGTAGTTTCCCTATTCCTTTTTTCAGTAATTGTTCTGATGAATGCAAAATTTAATTTTCACAATGATTAAATTTTAAATAATTACCATAACTATTTATATTTCTCATTTCATACCATTAAAATTTCTGTAATAATATTTTCAATTTTGAAATATTTATTTTTTTGAATATGAATTCCAGTTTCTTGATTTTCAGTCAATGACAATCTTCAAAAATTTAAATGCAACATCAATCATCATCTTATCTTTTGGAGGTCTGTTCATTTATTGAACTCTCTCCTCAATAAGATTTTCTCAGTTTTAGTAATGACTATAATGGGTTATGGTTAAATGATTTAATATAAAAAAACCCAAAAATGTTTCAATGGTTATCTGGATTTTTCAGAATGGAAAAAAATGTTTCAATGAATTGAAGCAATGGTTTTTCCCAAATTATTTTCCCCTCTGAGCAAATTTGATAAAATATATGAAAGAGAAAAAAAAGAGGTTTTGATAAAGAGAGATAGAGATATTTATTTTGAAGTCAGAACATTATCATTGATAACTCTCTCCTCCAATTTGTGGATCCTAGTTACTATATTCTTAATACTTGATATAATGCAAAAATATCACAATGATAAAATCAGTCATTAATTATTTATAACTTTTTATACTGGGACTCATGCATGCAATTACAATCCATAATAATATTTTAAATTTTGAAATCATATTTATTTTTGGCATATGAATTTTTTTAAACTCCTAAATCTTTGTCTTTCATTCATTCTATCTCAGCTATTATCTACTTCTGATGCACCTATGATGCATGCCACACCATTTGGGAACCACTGGCTTAAAAAATTGAAGAAAATTTTTTTGAAAAAAAAAATAAGAATTTTTTTTCAGCCTGGAGGTTGGCTGCAATTTCAGGTTCCCATTTATCTCCATTGGTAAGCAGCTTCTCTTTGTTGTACAGTAACTCTTCACGTGTTTCAGTGGAGAACTCAAAATTAGGACCCTAAAAAGAAATAAAGAAAACAAGCCATTATAAAAACAAAATGGTGATTAAAATGGATGATTAGGGTGCCCGCCAATATCTCAAACCACTGTAAGTATAATGACCCACTAATATGTTTATGTGCCAAACAAAACTTTGTAAATATTTACTGAACCCCTGTAATAGTTAACAAATTCAGTTAGTGTAAGGTGTTTAAATCCTTATAGTAAACTCACAACAAACTAGATAAAATGGATTTCATTGTTAGTTCCTGTAACCTTTTTTACCATTCCAGTCTCCCATGAGGCTAATTTTTATCAACTTGGAAGAACAATATTTACATTAGTCGGACTATTGTCCTCATCTTTGTCGCCATATTTGTCACAACGTTTCGCCGTTTACGCGCTCCAGCCTTCTTCAGGTGGTTGGAATTTCGAACTGAACCCTTTATTTCGATCGCTGGGGTAGACTGTTCTAATTCCACGTGCCATGTTTGATGGATGTCAGTTATCAGTTATCTGCTAATTTTCCCTCTGAAAGTTCTCCACTGCCTTAACCAGGAATTGAACTCACCTAAACGGCCGAAACGTTGTGACAAATATGGCGACAAAGATGAGGACAATAGTCCGACTAATGTAAATACTGTACATAATACCTCATCTCAGAAATATAGACAAACTTTGGAAGAACAAATTTATCAATGTTAACATTTTCTATAATAAAATTCTGTGTATTTATTTTGTTGACCTTACGGGGTAAGGTTTGTTATCTATTATTCAAAGAACTACACAATCCCTTGTCCAGATAGTGTTCTTGCACTACGTAATCAGAAAAGTCAACTTTTAAAAGAAAGCAGAAAAAAAAAAGAAAAAAAAAATCACCCAACATCATACTCATTATATGGTGATGAATATGAATTTAAATATCTTTCCAAAATGAATAAGAGTAGAAAAAAAAGCTTCAACCCTTCTTGTAAAAAAGAAAATCATCCCAAGTTATTAGGAGTCAGAAAAGTAAGAGTTTCTAAGAATTTGTCTAGATACCCTGTCATGGGTTCAGAAGTGATATCATCAGATAAAGCACATGATGTTGATAAGCTTTTTCCATTTGCCATGTGAAGAGAAAGCTGAATAAACAAGAAACTACTCACCTCAACAATAGCATCGACTGGGCATGCTTCTTGACAAAAGCCACAGTAAATACATTTTGTCATGTCAATGTCATACCTCGTGGTACGTCGACTTCCATCAGCACGAGGTTCTGCTTCAATTGTAATTGCCTGAAATAAAAATTTAAATACAAAATCACCAACATATCATTATTTCTTAAGGGGGGGGGTTACTGTTTTTGCTTCTAGTCAATTCATTCTTTTCATTTTATTTATTACATCAAGTCAACAAAAGAAAGCTTTGCTTTCAATTTTCCAAGCCAAATTTGAAATGTTCATCTTGAGAAAGTGGAAAAAGAATTTACATAAAAATGGTCCTACAACATTTCACCTTTCTTGTCAGATTTTCTATTATCACAGTGTGGGGTACTTAACAAAAGTGATAAAACCAAACAAGAAGAAACTAAATTAAATTAGCTAGACTATATATCTAAATACATTTGTATTGTATTTGGATATATAGACTATATATCCAAATACAAAAGAAAAAAAATCTAATTTAAAAGATTAAAATTTCAGCAGACATTCCTTTATGCACATGTGTAGTTACATCATTTTAGTTTAATGAAATCCTAACAGACGTAATGTATTACAAGAATATTTTTCCACTATGCCATTGAATTTCCACACATTGTTTGGTATATAAAAATTCATACATCATTTTCTCCTAGAATGTCACCCAAATGTTCATCTTAGATTTCAAATTTACAGAATGTATGAAATATGAAAATGCATCATCTTAAAAACCTCAAACAATTTAAATTCCTAATTGAAATGTAAAAAAGAATGCTGTCTACCAATCAATAGGCTTAATGGTAAAAATGGTATGATTATTGCTACATAACATAGCAAGCTCCCAAAAGGCAAGTTCCAGTCTTAAATGAAGTTGTTTCACTGTACTCTCTTCATGTAATTTGGAAACTAAGGAATATGAATGGGGTGCTAAATAGGACTCAGCTCAACCAAGAAGCACTTAAAAATAAAAAAATTAAAAACCTGATGTTTGTTCAGATTTTGGAAAGTAGATTAGGCTGAGAACTTTTCAAGCTCCTTTCGTATATTGTTAAAAAAATGTGATGAGAAAAACAAAGTGTCAAAAAAAATTTTTTTTTAATTTTTTAAATTCATGGATTGAAATAAGGAAATTTTGTTTCTAATAAAATGTGATGTTTATAAGCAAATTAAAATCTCACAAGCCATTCATAATATTCATTTTAACTTTATTATAATTTGTCTAAAATATTTTGATTAAAATCAATTTTTTTATTCTTAGTAAACAACTGAAACAAAGTGTCATAAAATCTAGAATATTTGAAAACAAATCTTTGATGCTTGGTGGATTTCTAAAATGACCATTATAGAAAAGTCAATGTACCATAAAAAGACATTCATTTTAATACCCAAATTGGAAAACTTACTTTTTCTTTCCCTACTTTCACAAATCAGTAGACACACACAAACAACTGTCTTGAAGTAACAGGTACCAACAGTCAGTCATTAATCTGAGGTGAGAGACAAGATCTTCATGCAAAAAGCCCTTCCTACTTAGAAGACTGGAATAAAGTATAATCCCCCCCATCAATCATTTTTGCCTTGGAGCTAGACTATGTTAGAGAGACAAACTTTAACAGAATTTCATGTAAAACAAATTACTCAAGTTAACCCGATTGAAAAATGCAAAACTTTCCCAACTTCCCTCTTCTCACCTGAGCAGGGCAAATGGCTTCACATAATTTGCATGCAATGCACCTTTCTTCTCCAGAGGGATACCGGCGTAAAGCATGTTCTCCTCGAAATCTTGGACTGAGAGGCCCTTTCTCAAATGGGTAGTTGATGGTGGCTGGCTCCTTCAGCAAATGGCCAAAAACCATGGCTAAACCTGAAACAATCAGTTTATGTAATTAATAAACTTCACACACAAAATGACATGACAACCACCGACCTGACAAATGCTATGTAGGACCCAGCAAAACTCAGAAAAGGGACAGATAAATGTACATTCAATTTATTACTATATAAAATCTACAATCACCCTATTTTATCATTTTTAGTGGATACTCACATTTATTTTTGTCTACTGGCCAGAATATTTGAGAAATCTTATTAAAGAAAAATATGGGCTCCCAGGCAGGATTCAAACCTGCATCCTCATGAGCAGAGGGAACCATCATTAGATCCGAAGTGCTTATACAGACTCAGCCACAAACTTTCGCCAATCAAACCAGTCCGAATAATGCCTTTAAGCAAAATCCTTCTCATTATAGACTCTTGAAATTTCACATCAAAACAGTCAGCAGCCTCCCCCACCCAATAAGTAAATATAGTCAATTTTAAATCTTATAATGTATGTGAAGTAGTACTAAAAAGTTCTCAACCTCACCAACTTGCCAAAATCTAATTAAATGACTAATCAGTTTTTTGGGGAAAAAAATCTCCCCCAGTTTGTCAGGCCCAGAAACTCAACCACACACACACACATATATATATATATATATATATAATATGCACACACACACACACACACACGATGAGAATGAATAGAGTACAATTCCATTCGTAACATTTAATTTAAACGAGGGCTCAATACAGAATAGAGCAATATTATTTATGTTAGAATATTACACCAAAAACATGTAAAATTCCTACACAATTACAGTCATGTTTCAAGACATGCATTGAAATACGACTGCAATTGTGTAGTGATTTTACATGTTTTTGGTGTAATATCCTGAGTATATATAATATATATATATATATATATATATAGATAAAATAACTTTATCCTTAAAAAATGAACATAGTAAAAATATGACAATCATAAGCCAATTTGAATGTTTGTTCAGTCAACAAGTAAAATATCCACCTCCCCGCTCCCAAAGAAAATTTGGGAACCAAATTACATGGGATCAAGAATGCATTCTAAATAAGTTCATGTGTGAAGCTTGTCCATATTTATTCAAACTGTTCTCCTTCTGTGACAGTCAAGAAAAACTGGGAACATCAGTTTAGTTAAATAAGCTGCAATTGGACAACATGGATAATTTCTACCTGTAAAATCCATAATAACTAAAACACTATCAGCATCTATAGTGTGCCATGAAAGGTGTTTTTTTTTGTTGGTTAAGAAAGAAGAACCCTGCAAAAATATGATTTCAAAGGCTATTTGGAAGCAGGCAATGTTTTGTGACTTTTGGAACAGAATGTCTAAGTGTTTCATACTTACCAGTAAACATTTCTCCCCAGAATGCTGTTCTTGCTGCTCTATCTGTGATGTCAGACCATTTCATGCTTGGTTCTGGAGGACTCACATCCTCTGAGCAAAGAAAATGGCAACAATAATAATGACAACAACAGTAATTTATTTATATAAATTGGAAATTAAAAGAAAAAAAAAAAATAAAGATCCGATTGTAACCTGGGGAAAAAAAAAAAAAAAAAAAGAAGCTAAACCTTACAACAATCATAGTGATATCTGCAATCTTTACCAAGGAGAAAAGTTAACAATAATAACATTTCCAGACTAAAATAAAACCCGAGTGAGAGATCAGAAATAATGACACGATGCATACACGCAAAAAAAATTCCTTTTGAGTTCATTTGAACCAGGATGAAAATATGTACATTTCATATAACCCCCACCCCTCTTCAATACAATTTTAATACCCTTGCTTTTCTCCTCCCCTTCTATTACACTTTGCATTTATTTATTTTTAAATAATAAAGCATTAGGAAATTATTTAGCCCACATTGCCTGAAGATACTGAAAGGTTTGAAATCAAGGTAGTGTGATCGGCTGATCTAATTTTTTCAAATATATATGCATTATTATTGGATACAGTTAAGTAAAACATCAGTTTTATCAAAATCATATTTATTTTAACTACAGTAAATGGATATATAGTTTGGTCAACAATGTAGCCTAGACTAATCATGTATCATATGTGTATGATGCAACCCCCTTAAAATTAGCTTCAAAATTAGGACTTCAAAAGTCGCATGATACACGAGTATGTACAGTAACACACATTTATTTCTTTTTTTTTTTTTTAATGTCATATGTTCCTTCAGGACATAACACAATCATGAATCTCCACAGATTCCTTTTATTATTTCTGAATTTCCAACACATTTTTGAGAAAGAGAATAGAATGGCTTCATCACAGAGTTTGGATCCATTGTTGCCATTCTCTTAAGATTTGTTGCTGCCAGAGACAAGAGAACCCAGCCTACAAGTGAATGCAACAGAATTGCCAGGAATTTGCAATCGGCTCACCAATTTACTTTTCTACTCTCCACACATCACTTAACAAGCATTACTTGACTGATACTTTCACGTACATTAATAGGAATATGTTAAAGATGGTTCAAACAAACATGGAAATACGAACAAAATTAAAACACTTACATAACACTGTTATCAGTGTGGAATGTGGAATCAGAAAAAGAAGTTTTGTCCTAATCTGTTGCATTCACTTTTGCACACATGCCTCTGGGAAAGGTATGAATCCATCCTTCCTCCCCAAGTTATGGGTTAATTGACAATTATGTTATCTTTTTTACAACTTATCAACCTTTTAAAGCCAAAAAATATTTTAGACTGTAAGAATTTTCTTTTTTTAGAGTTAATGATTTACTGATACAAGTCTTACTAATTAACCCATAGCTGGAGGGAGAAGAGGTGGATTCATAGCTTTCCCAAAGATATTTATATCAATTTCTCATTCCAAGCCGTTATCCATTACAACACCTGGTAATCATCTAGGTACTGACCAGGCTCAATATTGGTTCTCATACTATCACCAGAGTTAAGCAGTGTTTCAACATGACACTATCCTGGGTAAGACGATAAACTACATCCAACAGCAAGGCCTCTGATCAGGAGGTTTTGAGGAGTGTGGAACCACCTCTTAATTGCTGGTGTTCCCAGGTTCACCCTGACCTGGGGGGGGTAGCACCTGTTAAGCTATGGGAAAATAGTTAACCACCAAACTGGGGTAAAAACACTATGAAAGTGTAAAAATAGGTTTTAATACCAGAAATACTTTTTGTAAAAAAATTGAAGAGAAAACTATTACTGGCAATACATTTTTGAAGAAAAAAAATATTACCAAAAATAGATTTTTGAAGGAAAAAATATTACCAGCAACAAAAATTTGTCGGCATTAAATAACCCATTGAGGCTGATATGTGGTAAAACAAAACAAACCAAATCAACATGACATGGCCATAAGTAATGTGCAATTAATGTTTGATGGTAACTTTGAGATGTTAGCTTCATTGTCAGAACATTATAAATGAAAAAGGACTTGTCTTGGCCAATTTAAAGGAAGAGACAGATGCAAAATTTAGACTTAAATGGGACACAGATGCTACAACAAAACAATGGATACAAGAATTATAAATAAAAAACACTTACTCCATAATGATCTTCGATGGGTTGCTTGGCTTCCAGGCACCACCGACGCAGCTCGGAGAGAATGACTCAGCACTCGCTGGGCTGGGAATATGAAAAAAAAAAAAAAACACCACATAAAGCTTTCGTTTTTGGATCAGGACATAGACAATAATGGCTCTTCACAATTTTCTGTCCTTTGTAGCTCTTAGTAAAATGTCTTTTCTATCTCTCCTAATTCCAGTTCTACCAACTATTTCCACAAGTTCGTTAGGTAGGTTATGCACTGCTTTCCTCTGTTACTCATGTTTTCAATGTCCTGTGAGTGTCAAATTTTCTAAGCCCTGTCTTTAGTGTATATTCCTCCTATTTTTTTTTTTTTTTTTTTAATATAAGTGGATGCTGGACAATCTCCTGACAGATGAAGAGACATGAAGCAACATAAATCTGGTTCTACAGAAGGATGATGAGAATACCAAAGACTGAACATGTGAGCAACAGCCAAGTTTTAGAGAAAATGGAAACAAAAAGAACACTTATGCTTAACATCAGGAAGAGATATTTGAAATTTCTAGAGTACATAATGAGGAATGAGGAAAGAGGGTTTGGAAAATTTGATACTCACAGGACAGAGCAAAGGTAAGAGGGACAAAAGATGACAAAAAGACGAAATTTATTGAGAACTACAAAAGAAAGGAAGTTGTGGAGAGCCATAATCACCACCATCTCAAAGCGACATGGCACATAGATTAAGTTATTTAGACTAATGATCTCATCCTTGTTGGTTTTATCTATGGAGCTTACTTTTGCTAACCAAAATATGTAACTATATCTTAGCCGATGCATTTTTCAGCCCTGGTCTGAAAATATGTATCAGCTAAACTAAACCAAGGAGGGGAGCCCAAACAACTTGTAAATAAATGAAAATTGCATCTTTCATAATATGAGTCAAGATAATAATTGCAATCCAGAGACAGACATTTAAATATATGTTGTTAGTTTTTATGCGTTATTTTTATACAAAACTATGGAAAGATATTGTCAAGTTTACTGCCCAAAACAACTTCCACAGGCCAAATATGAGTTACCACTGTAAACTCATTTTGAACAGACATTATGAATAAAAAAAAAAGAAAAATAATCATAATTCAATACATCCTTGCAACACAGACTTTGGAAAACCAATGTAGAATGTAAAATAATAAATCCTTGAATTATTTCACAGGGATTAATAAACAGTTGACATAAGGAGACAAACATTTTAGTTTATTCACTGCACTATAAGACATTTTTCTGGTTTTATTTCAGAGGTATAAGTTGCCAAATTCAAAGCAAGCAGGTTTGAATGTTTTCATTTTATTTATTTACAAATTGTAGGTCCTATTGATTTTCTTTTATGTACCATGTCACTTCAAGATGTAGGCGATCATGGCCCTCCACTTCCTCCTGTCCCTTGTAGCTCTTAATGTTTTGTCTTTTTGTTATTTCTCCCAAACCCTGTACTGCCATCCATTTGCCCATTAAGTATGTCACACGTTACTTTCCCCTGTTCCTCTTTCCATCCTGTGAGTATTTTCCAAGCCCCCACTAAGTACCCCAGAAATTTCAGCTGCCTCTTCCTAATGTTATTGTTTAAGTATAAGCTTCATCTTTGTTTCCATTTTCTCTAAAACCTTGTCGTTACTCACATGTTCGGCCCATGGTATCCTTAGCATCCTTCTGTAGAACCACATTTTGTTGCTGGTCATAAAGTGAAATTATATTTTAAAAGTTTCTATTCAAAGGAGAGAAATGTGTGCTCGGAAATATGAGGTTCGTTAGGTAGAACAAATGTGTACGAAAATTGTTTCTGACACTCAACTAAATAATTAAAAAAAATAATCATCAATGTAACTTCAAATGAATTACAATTACATTTATTTTTATGATGTTTATTTTTACGACAATTATATATATATTTACTTTACAGAAACTTGATTTTTTTTGTCTTTGATCTTTTAACTTTTGGGAAGAATTCATCAATTATTCTTGATTCACATGAAAAATTTGTGTGGTCTATAAAGATAATTTTTATTTTAATTAAACGTTTAAATTTGAAAACAAAATGCAAATTAAAAACCGGGGATAGTATCTTTATTTTTTTTTTACTTTTACACTTGACTTAAAAAAAAAAATGGGATGTTTTGTTTTTTGTGTTTATTTCAGAATGACTTCGAACATTTCACTAGTTTTTTTCTTTTTAATATTTATTCGTAAAAGAGAAAAATCCCACACAAAAGCGTAAAATTGTGTTTTCTTTTCTTATTTACAGATTAAAAATATATCGACGATGAATGAAATGTAAATATTGAATAGAAAAAAAAATTTTCTCCGACCTCAAAATTATGAAATCAAGGGCAAAACATGGCAAGGTGAGATGATTGATGACATGATTGCAACAGAAACAGCGATTTTTGCTTACGGTTATTTGGCACCAAAATAAAATTCTAAAAACAATAATTGCTCTAAATCAGTTTTTAACAAGATATTTACCTGAACGGCCGACTGAAAATATTGTTATCGTCGACAGAGTCATTTTTCACAACCTCCAGACCTCACTGGGCATGGGAGATTTGAGGGAAAGATAACTGAATACAACTTCCGGTACCTGACAACCAACGAGGAAGTAATTAAATTATGGAAGCCCTAAAATGCCTATTTAGGGAGATTTTATATTAATTTTTTTAACCTAGTATTAAATTGTAAAAGAATTATACAAGTAAATTAAATTTTTTTTCTTTAGTATATAAAAATGCATAAGTTTTACGTAGTGATAAAAATTTTCAATCAACGATGAAGATAGTGACTGAATAAATTTAAATTATTTTTAAATAATTTGAAATGAATTTGAATTAAATTTAGACAATAGTCCACATGTAAATACGATAGATAAGATTTTTTTAAAATAATTTGTATGTATTTTAATACAAATATCAAAGTAAATATTACCATTTTGAAGAAAAATATTCTATAATTGTTTTGTTTTTATATTTATTTAAAAAAAATTGTCTCTATTGAGATTCCATAGTTTGGTACATTTTCATGAGCACATGTTGTTGAATTCATTCAAAGATGGATGGTATTTCATTATTTCGTCGTCTTGGAGTTGGTGCTAAATTTGATTTTAAACGTTTCCAGTCCGATGCCGAAAAACTTAAGGTAGAGTAGAATATTTAATATTTTAAATGGTCTGTACTGTCTAGTTTTTTTTGTGGTGTAATTTTTTAAAAAATCTAGCTGTGAATCACGTAACGATTTCAACTTCAACTGATACACGTGTTGTTAAATTTATTTTTCATCTCCGACAAAATTGGCACACATTTGCAACTTTTAAAAGTTCAGTTTGATGATACCATGTGTAACTTAATAAAAATTAATTAAATTATTAACTTTGAGCCAACAATTCTAATTATAAATAAAATAAAGAGACGTTCTTATTCAAACCCAAAAAACTATTTAACGTTTACTTTGCTATATTTATTTTCCTATATTAATTTGCGACAAGCAATATTTTCTAGAATTAAATTAAAATTTTAGCTGTAAAGGAAGGACATTCTTTTTTATTCTGACTTTTAAGTTTTGAAAACTTATTGTACAAAAAATGTTATTTTAAAAAGCAAATTATAATGTAAGTATGTCAAATAATGTTATTGTTGCACTTATTTTCACGTGTAGAAAAAGTTAATTTTGTAGTGAAATATAGCAGATATGTGCAAGTGTCTGGTGCTTTTGTAAAATGTTGATTTTTTTTTTTTGTTTAATAACTTTTTACAGTAAAAAGAAAGAATTATACAAAAAATATTTTTAAAGTTTAAATTTAAAAATATAGATTGCTGATTTAGATGTTTTTTAAAGTCTGTTACATAGATCGGCATTAACTAAGAAATTTGTAAGACGACACAGGCGTGGTGATTGTGGGAAATTATGTTATAAAATCATAACACTCACAGACTAAGTATCTTTAAAATAAATCTACCAACAACTTACAGAGTGATGGCTGGTAGGACTTAATGTAAACAAATTCCAATACCTTCGAATGGCATTCCACATTATCCTTGTTCAGTACTGAAAATATGTTCTGGTTATAAGACTGGTCACATTACTGGCTTGGGGATCAAATATTCAGTTATTGCCGAACTAGTTGTTTTTTCACACACCTATGCAAATTGTCCACCTTACCCTTGTGAATTTTGGCTGGTACATGCTAATTGATCCTTGCTTCCAAACTTTGACCCATTCTACCTACATAGCATCCCACTGATATTTAAATTCGTAAATTACCAAACTGATATGATGGGGAGGTAGAACATCCTTCTGGAGTGGTCTCAACATTGATCAGGCAACAATATATGGATTAGATGACAGATAAGTTTTTCGTGCGGCCAGGAATCTGCTTGGCAAATCTTGTGCTCACATTACCAATCCACAGTATACACAAACTGTAGAAACTTTGTGCACTTACCTTAGCAAAATTCTTGTGGAAAGGGAGAAATGAGGGAATGCAACTGTAATCTTGTGATGAAAATATAATGAAAGCTATTATTTCGTCTTCACAGAAAATTTGTAGAAATGAGTTTCAGTCGATCCCATCTGATTGAAGGGGAGTCAAAATTTGCATGTGTGTTCGAAGAGAGATATAAAATGCTAAAGTAGTTAGCCAAAGGCAGTAGCAGTATTTTTTTTTTCCTTCCTTTAAGACTGTGCTCCCTCTTTTGAAGCTGACAGGATGTGTTGCCGAAACTGTTATTCTTTATTTTCTATCATTACTTCTACAAGGAGAATTACTTGTAGGTAACATAGTGTTTTTGTGGTGTGCTGCTCAGATTTGTTTTAAAATTGTTAATGAGGTTGTTAGAGAGGCTGCGTTTTTAGTGAGAGCACATACATTTAAATTTGCAAAGAACACAAGGAAAGAAGAACAAAAGATCAAATTGCATTCAACAATAAAATATATATTGAAAACAACGAGTACAACAATTGTGCTTATGTATTAATATTTAGGGAGAAAAAAAGTAGCTTCCCTTATACTGATATCTGATGCAAGATAGGAATAATGTACTTAAGAACTTTCTTGTTGAAATGTTCAGAGTTCAGTGAATAAGATTTGAATTCAAGAATGAAAAGTTTGTACAAAAAGGATAATAGAATTTGGTTTGTGACTTGGCTTGTGACAGTGGTAGTTCTGTGTCTGTGTGTGCGTGAGTAGAAGAATGTAGATACGCGTGCATTGCTGAGTTCTGCTGATTTATTGTTCTACTAACTTTTTTCTGGAGCACAAACTGTTTAAATACTTTTTGGGTAGGCTCCAGAGAGAAGCGGGAAAAATATCGAAAGGAATATCTAAAATACACGATTGGATAAAAATTGACCAATCACTGATTTTTTACAAAACCAAGTTAGGCAAAAATCATGGCAGAAAATTTTTTGTGTGGTTAGGATAGGTAATTGTCCTGTAGTAAACAGTACTTATTTTCTATCCAATTATAACTGAGTATTTTGTGGGGGTGGTAAATTGGAGTAGTCACTACATTTTGGTTGCAGTTTGGCATAAATGATTGCCACTGCAAGATTATTCCAGTTACAAGTAAGAATTTGTTATCATTTCTTCCTTTCTGTGTTCTTTTTCACTTCAAATGCTAATAGTTACCATTATAGTTTTTCTAACTTCCCTTTCCCATAACAGTTGGACTTGAAATCCTAACAAAACAGATGGAATCTAAAAAAAAATCTTTCTCACTTTAATTTTTAAGCATTGAATTGTATCACATCGCATCCATGAACTTGCCTGGCTTTTCTGTTAACCTAATGAATATTTATGAGCACTCTTATACCAAAAAAACTTTGAAAAACCAAACATTTTTGTTCTTGTACATAAGTACTTGTCTCAAGATAAAATCCTTACATTTGCTTTGATAAAGTCCCTCAGAGGATGAAACATGTCGGCTAAGATAAGTTTTCCTTTTGTCTTTATTCTCACACACACACACACATATATATATCTTATAGCCAGAGTGTGCCAATACCAATTTAGCCATGGGAGATTAATCTTGATAAAGCAAATCTCCCATTGGGACTTCGATGTATGGCTGCTAGCTTCATTTTCGTACCTGAAATGTAAGAACCATCATTTTTAAATAAATACCTTTAATCCAACATTATTTCTTATTAATATAAACATTATTTTTAATGGGTACATGTGTTTGAATTAATATCCCTATACAATTGGCCTAGATTAGGATGTCCTACTAAAGAAAAATATGCCTCCCAACAATTTGAACATATATCCATTTTTCCATCAGGGAAACCACTTCTATAGCTGAAGAATGACATTAGACTTTTTTGAAGAAAAATCCACCTTATTTCAACTACCCCCTTTTATTGAATATTCAGGAAATGTCCTCATCACTTCCTTAATTTAGATTGTAAGCATTCAAGGACAAAGCCTTTTATTACTGGAAATTATAAAACCCCAGCAATTTTTTTTCATTCCATTCACCCCATCTGTTTGAAACTCAGATGTGAATCTCTTGACATTTCTGAGATTATTCTTCGATGTGCCATGTCACTTCAGGTCATAGGCAATTATGACCCCCCCCCCTTTCCAGCATCCAATCACACAAGCCCACCATCTATCTCATATCTCTCTTGCCCACAATGTACCCTCTGAGGGTTAAGTTTTCCAAGTCCTCCTTCCTCATATGTCTAAGGATTTTCAACTATATTTTCCTGATTCTGACCGTAAGTGTTCTTTCTGTTGCCATTTTCTTTAAGACTTCCTTGTTGCTTAATCGCTTCATCCATGAAATTCTTAGTATCCTTCTGTAGAACCACATTTCTGATGCTTTTATTTTTTTCCTCATCCATGAGGAGATTGACCAGCATTCACTGCCATATAAGAGGATGGATAACACAGTAATCCAGCACTTTTTTTCTTTGTTTCTAACAAAACCTTTCTGTTTCTCAACACCTTGCTTAGCTTTTGGAATGCTCCTTTCAGCTAATCCAATGCATGTTCAAACCTCGGTGTCATGTCCCAGATATTTAAACTTCTATACCTGCTTGATGTTTATATATCTCCAATTCTTAACGTATCTTGGACTTTTTCTCTTGCTGATGACCAGATATTCCGTCTTCTTGTAGTTCATGATTAGTCCTTTTGTTTTTCTCTATTTCTTTTACTACCTTGTCTAGGATGTCCTGTAGTTTTCTTTCCATTTTAGCCATCAAAACAGTGTCATCTGTGTATCTTATATTGTTAAGATTACACCCACTGATAAGTTTAAGTTAATTTTTAACAGTATATCAACTCTTTAGAGCCATTTTCTGCCAAAACTGATTTATTTTATATTTAGGGAAAAATGACAAGCCCTAACCCTTTCTTCTTGTAATTGATAGTTAGTCCTTTTGTTTTTCTCAATTTCTTTTACTATCCAATCTAGGAGTTTTCAGGTCTGCCAATAACATGGTGTCATCTGCATATCTTATATTGTTAAAATTTTGCCCACCAATAATAAATCCTGTTAGGGTCTCCAGTTACTTTAGGATATCATCACTGTAGAGGTTGAATAAATTGGGGAGAAGACACATCCTTGCCTCACACCTTTTTCCATATTTTTATAGCTACTCAATTCATTTTCTATCCATATGCTGTCATTTTTTTCCCAATATAACTTCTGTATTATTCTAACATCTTTTCCAAACAGATTGAGTTTTCCTAGTAGTTCAAATATATCCTTGTCGTATCTTGTCAAATGCTTTTGCATAATCTACAAAACATGTGCCTATCCTTTCTGATATGATTCTGTGGCAGACGTGATGAGACAGAACCTGGGACGAGCACAACTGGTTGCAACTTGCCTTGTCCCTGTCAAAAAAGAGCCCGTATTTGCTTAGCATGTAAAGCTACTGCAGTTGAAATGAGGGAGAAAAAAGCACTTACTGCTCTGCCGTAATCCGTCCTCGGCCAGATAACGTAAAATTATTTATTGCACAATGTACAAATGTGGCACAAGGCCAAGAGGGGAGTGGGGGAAAGGATGGTCATATTCTGTCTTAACTTTAAACTTAGCTAGCCACAATCACTGACCCAAACATACAAACAATGTTCCTTTCACCAAAACAACACATCCATTACATACCATTCTTACTACATCCACCAA